ATTTTCGACCAAAAACACCAAAAATTTTAGTTAATTACATACTTTTAAATTGTTTTAATTAATAAAGTATTCTAAATAAATGTGGATTTGGCTCAGAAATCAATATAATAATAAATTATGAAAATGAACGTCTCTGTTTTTAACAATAAGCATTCGTCAAAAAATGAAATACAATATATAAAGTGTTACTTTTTACCGCACTGTCTAATACACACACAAAATTCAGTTTTTTTGTATTTGGTATTTGGAGCAATTATTATTAATCAACGTAAACAGTCAAGTAATGTAGTTGAATACTGGGATACTGGGATTAATTGGTCCTCTTTAACAAAAAATATTTAAACAGTTTTTTTATTTTTTAATTAAATAAGCGAACTATAGCGACAATATTAGTATTTGTATCCTTTGAAAATTTGTTACATCTTTAAAAATAAGCTAAAATGTCAATTCCATGGGTATAGTGATAAATGAAGTCTAAATTATAAGAAAATGCATTTTATACAAAAACTTGAAGAGATGGGTAAAAAATGGTATATTACAATTTCATAGACAATTACATTGTGCATCTGATTTACGTAAAATATATAGGGTGTTCCATTTAAATTAGACAAGTTATTGCCGTTTAAAGCTAGTAATTATATAATATAAATTTTTGGACACACTGTAGAAGGTAGTAAAATGTTTATTATAGCAACACAATATCTGATCAATAAATAATCTTCAGTAAAAATTTAGTATTAAAAACTTTGATACTCTTTGAGAAATGAAGCCTTAAAATTTTTACTACAATTTCATAAAATTGAAAATATTTCAAAAACGGTTAGGTTTAAGTGTGATAAACCTTAATCAAATTTACCTTTATTTCAATCGTAGAATCCAAAAATAGAATAATATACAGGGTGTTCCATTTAAAAAAATACAACTATAATATTTTTTACTTATTTGGGACACTCTGTATCTTGTAAAAATAATTTTAAATTGTACCTCTAATAGTCCTTCAACCAACCCAAAACTTAAAATTTGTAAAAATCTAATCGTTTAGCTACAATACTCCGTGTCGTATGTGGTGAACAACCCTGTATACGAAATAATATACATGTACTGATTTCTTTCGAAAATCGACAACTATGAAACTATGATCCCTTCCCGGACACAAACGGTACATTGTGAGACAGGAAATTGTAGAGAGAAACAAGCCCTATAACATAGGCTACAACATTTTAATGAACAGTGCTTTCCATAAAATCAATAAAATGAAAGATATACGAAATAATATACATGTACTGATTTCTTTCAAAAATCGACAATATATTTATTATAATAATAGGCAGAATGAAGCAAATAATTTTATTAGATAAATATAAATCTAAAAAACGAATATAAATCTAACAATAAGAACTTCTTTAAGATACCGTATGATCGCAAAAAAACGGCGTCAGCGATGTCAGTTTATATGTAAATTTATATGGGAAATGTCATCGATCGTCATTTCCCAGCCAACTGGACGCCGTTCTCTTTTCGATCCTATGGTACTTAGGATGTATGTCACAAAACATTCCCCTTTGGAATTTTGCCTTATATGTCACTAAATGAAATGAAAAGAAGCGCCCCCTTGAGTTTGTTCGCGCACTAAATTCATGAAATATCGATCCCTATATTTATTATTTTTTAATTTTTTAATGAGGAAATTGCCAAAATCGCACACCGAATATTCACAAAACACAACGAAATAAAAATATTGACATATTTAAAAAACAAATTTTATTTATTATTTTTTTTAAAGACTAGCAGCGCCTCTTGTGTTTGTTCGCACGGTATAGCTTTTTCTTCCAGTCATTGCCATAAAATTTACTAAACGGGGATGTTTTGTGATGTATATCTACATATAATTATGCTGAAAGTATAAAGTATGCTGAAATGAACTAAAATATATCCGAGAATATATCTAATATACAGGGTGCTACAAATTCGAGGTACGAGCATTGGTATCTCGGTAACCGTAATAGATACGAACACGGTTAAATTGGGGTTAAAGTTGCGCTATGGGATGTTCACCAAGATACCGTAAAAAATTTCAAGGATTGCTGAGTTTTTTGGAAAAAACTGATTTTTTTGAAAATCAATTTTGTTTTTTCCTGTCGTTACTTTTTAGAAAATCAAAAAACTAATTGCACATTCTCATAGCCTCTTTATTAGAGCTATCTGATGGTATTTTTAGATTTTCAAATTATCTTATTATTTTTGAGATACAGAGACGAACTTAATTTTTCTAAATGCGGACCTGCATTTTTTATTTGAGATTTTGAAAGAACTCGGTCTCCTGAGTACAATGATATGCCACACTTATTTTTTTTTTGTTTAGAACACAATTTATTTAAACTAATTTCAAGTCCGGCTCTGTTTTTTTTGTAATAATATTGATAAGCTTTCAAACTTAACAATGACGTGGGATAAAACATTGAATACGATAAAATAATATAAAATAATTAATATCTATAAATATAATATAATATAAACAATCAAATAATTTTCCCGGAAGATGGATTGGAAGTGGTAGAGCAGTAATAATGTCCAGCGAGGTTCCTGGACCTATCGCCAAGGGGCTACATTATTTGACGTCGTTTGTAAAAGTGAAATCAATTCATCTCAACATTTACAATAAAGAGTACACAAATGCATTCGGAAGTATAAGAAAGTTCAAAGAGCTATAAATAAAATTGAGCGAAAAATAAATTTGTCCAATAGAGAGGGTGGTGACCCTTTCGAACATGTAGAACATTAGAAACTAGTTTGTAGAAGTTGATTTATTTATAATAACTACAGATTAAATAATTTAAGAAACCAGTGTCGGACTTGAAATTAGTTTAAATAATAATTAAATAGTATTGTTGCTGTTAAGGCATCCAAAACAAAGAAATAGTATTAAGTGTGGCATATATTCAGGAGACCGAGTTCTTTCAAAACCTGAAATAAAAAATGCAGGTCCGTATTTAAAAAAAATAAGTTGGCCTCTGTATAGTCTATAAAATGAATAACTTTGAATTTTGACCGTTATTTTTTACCAACATGGCAAATATAAAATCCCTCGGTCATAAAAGTTACTGATATTCTTTAAATTGAGCGCCTGAACGTATCAGATAGGTAACTCTTTTTACTTTCGTAAAATAGAAAAGGAAAATAATAAAACAAGTGACAGTTCTTCCTCTTCTTGCAAAAATCAACACGAAATGTCATAATTGTCAAAAGTAAAATGTCATGAGCTTTTGACATTTATAAATATCAGACCAATGCCGTCTCTAATAGAACAGCCTCGGAGCGAGATTTATGACGTCACGCTAGTTAGATACTACGGATTATTAAATATGTTGTAGAATACATGGAAAACATAATTATTCCTCGTATTTTTGGTTTGTATTTTAAAAATTATATAGTTTACATGAAATATACATAATATACAGTTAATAAAAACAATATAATATATACCTATTTATAGTAATAAATACTTTGGCAAATTAACTATGAACCATACCAATGCAGCAAATGTTTTACAATAGGTATACAAATAATGAATAGGTACATAAGCACAAATTACCTATAACAGATGCGAAAGAAAGCGACTGCATCGGAAACCGTTCGGCAAACCCGACACGCCTATTGAGTGGTGTAAATACACCAGTCGTTTAGTCCGGAAAGCTATGCTGTGTCGTTTTCGCTTGCTGGAATGACATAGTGCGTGGTTATATGTTTCTTTTTAAAAACGCGTGTAGGGTTTTTGTTGATCTTTTGAACTGTTATTTCTAAGTTTTGGTAATTTGTATATCTTATTTAAAATGGGATGCAAATGTGTTTATTTATAAGGAAAAAAAAGATATTTGTAGTATAAAAAATTAATTTATTTAACAAAATTTAATTAAAAATGTGACAAAATAGTTACCTTTCTATTGGTTCTATCGGACTTTTTTCGACTATATAAATCTTTATTTGTAAACTTTAATACATCAAATATTTTCAATCTAATAAATCATTTAATGATGTAAATAAGAGGAAATTTCTCACATGGGTGGTCAAATTTTATAGTTTTCATTATATCAAACAGCCTCTGAGAAATGTTTTCAACTCAAAATGCCTTTAATTATGTTTGACTACATCATTAAAAAGGGTCTTCAAATACATCAATGTGATATTTGTCTAAAATTTGCAAAAGAATCCGAATCTCTGGATAACTCGAAATTATTTACCCATTTAAAAGCCTTTGATCATGAAAGTGGAAAAATTTGTTCATTTTATTTACAGGCTGGAAAAATTATTTATATTAAATTTTGATGAGTTTTGCACTGAAGAAAACATTCAGAGGCTGTTTGATATAATGAAAACTATAGAATTTGACCACCCATGTGAGAAATTTCCTCTTATTTACATCATTAAATTATTTATTAGATTAAAATATTTTATGCATTAAAGTTTACAAATAAAGATTTATATAGTCGAAAAAAGTCCGATAGAACCAATAGAAAAGTAACTATTTTGTCACATCTTTAATTAAATTTTGTTAAATAAATTAATTTTTTATACTATAAATATCTTTTTTTTTCCTAATCTCCTACGAACTGATATAATATGACGAGTAATCTATTAAATTACTGTGAGATTATATGCCTCGATAACATATTGGTGCAGATTATTTTTACCCAAACTATACATTGATGCGGATTGTCTATGAACATAAGATAATGGGTAAAATGTAAAATATATTTTAAATTTTGGTGTTTGAAAATCGATCTAATTTAACAAAAAACATTCAATTTCTACTAATAGTGATTTAATATTTGCAGTCACAAAATTTATATGTATATTTTGCAAGTATCAATGTTCGAAAAATTATATTTGCATATTAGTAGATATTGAATTAAAAAAGTTAAGTTGGCCTCTGTATCTCACAAACTATCAGCTAATTTGAAAATCTACAAATACTATCAGATAGCACTAATAAAGTGGCTATGAGAAAGTGTAATTAGTTTTTTGATTTCAAATCGTATCTATTACGGTTACCGAGATACCAATGCTCGTACCTCGAATTTGTAGCACCCTGTATAGGTAATATCGAGCAATTTTGCTTTTCTATTATTAAACGTGACAACATTGTTGTTTTTTGCTTGAATTTCTTCCGCTGTTTTAGATCCGTTTGTCAGATAATAGATTCCGAAAATCCATCAACACCGTCTATTGACCGTTGTTAGTATAACGATTTTCATAGATATCGCTGTCGATCCAAAATTTCGTTCTTTCCTTGAAAAAGCCACTCGCTATTGCAAACTTAAATCCATAGCCAAAGCTTCCTGTTATATTTAAAAAAGTGATTCTATCGCCCATCTCTCTATAGGTACTTCTATTAATATATAGTGGTCTCCAATCGACATCTGGGGGCAGTACGCTATGTTGTGCTGGATTTGGATTTCTGGAAAATACAATTTTAATTTGTGAAAAATCTAATGTTACGGAAATAATATTCAATAATAGTGTAGCAATTAGTTTATTTTTTATTTTGTGGAATTATACCACTGTTTTGACAAAGCTTGACTGGCGATAAACTGCGAACGCTAGCTCTTATACCGAGGCCAATGAGACAAGCATTTCATTTGTTTTGAGTGTTAATTGAGTTTAATTTTGAATTACACTCATCCATACCCAGTGATAGGCGGTAGGTAAATATCCAACGGGTATAATAAAGAAAATTGGTATACAGGGTCAGTTTCCTGCGATGTTCTCTATGGGTATCTCGGAAACTACTGGAGATAGAGAGTCGGTTAAATGGGGAAAGAATTGCAGTCTTGTGGGGTCATAAATATGCACCTTTCACATTTCTGAAAAAGTTCGTGGCTTACTTGATATTAAAAAAAAAGAAATTTTGGCTATTTTAAAAATTATCCCTAATTCCATTATAATCTATTTTAGACAAAAAGTTTTCAGATAAAAGTTATAGATAATTACATCCCTAATGAGTTTGTGTTTTCCGATTGTTTCTAAAGCCTGTCATTTTTGACATATGAACACATAAAAAGCGTCGTTTTTGAAGCTTTTCAGCGTTACATCTTTTGCATAGTTAGAGTACGAAATTTCGATAAAATAAGCCATAGACTTAAAATAAAATATAGACTGAGCATCTCATTCATAAATAGCTGGAACATGCGGTCAGACAATGTCTTGTTATTGTTGTGTTATTATTTTAGGTTATAACGAGTGCGACACGAGCGATAGATAGGTTGTCTCTGTCGTAACGGTCGTTCCCTGACGACTCTGCCGAAAACACAACACTGTCTTTCGTTCTCAAGTACACCTGAACTCTCCCTATCATAGCCGGGTATTTTTTTTATTTTAATGAAGCTATAATTAAATTAAAAATATATCGTATTTAAACTTTTTTATGTTTTATTAAGGTTTAGGACAGGTTTTTTAAATAAAAATTTAGAAAAAACGTCTTAGAGTCCAAAAAGGATAAAAATAATAAAATACACGTTATAGAGGAAATTTTATAATCGAAATTACGTAATTTTTGAAATTAATAGTAAATTATTAATTTTAGTCAAACATTTACAACCCCTAATATTAATCAAAACAGGATCTGTTCCACAGATATAATAGAATCGGCGACAGGGAGAGAAAAAAAAAATATGATTGTTGTAATTTTTTTTCTGCTTAAGTGATGTCTTATTATGTAAATTAGAGAAAACATAAATCTGTTCCATTAAAGCAAGGAAGGTGATAGGAAGTGAATAAAATGAAAACTACATTTATTTAACTCGGTACGGTCTTTATTATACCGGGTGGGTTCCAAAAGTGGCTCATCCCCATATTTTTTTATATTTTCAAATAAAAAAACAAGATTTAGTATGTTAGTATATGACATAAATTAGGATTGATTGACGCATTCATTTGTTTTTGGTCACTTCCTGTTTCACCGGAAATGACTATAACTTTTAATTTTTAAACGGCACCCTCGGTATATTTCTACTTTATTCGATAGAAAATGACACTCTGAATAGAATGACATATCATATGTCAACTTTTGACATTGTCGCTTAAAAACAAATCGTATTTTAAATTTCAATCCAGGGTGCCATGGTGTTGTTAAAAACACTAAGTTTTAATCAAGGAGCCTTGGAAAAATAGTTTTGATCATCTAATAGGTTTCGTGTCTTGTCTAGGCCGGTTAAAAGATGTACAAATCGTATTTTTAATCATACATATGTCAATTTTTTCAAATGGAACAAGGGTGACTCATCAGCATATTTGGAAAAGCATTTTTTATGAATACAAATTGTCGTTATGAACCGCGTGTTACAATTACAATTAAACCATATGCGAAAATGTCAAAAGTTGACATATGATATGTCATTCTATTCAGAGTGTCATTTTCTATCGAATAAAGTAGCAATATACCGAGGGTGCCTTTAAAAATCAAAAGATGTAATCATTTCGGTGAAACAGGAAGAGACCAAAAACAATTGAATACGTCAATAAATCCTAATTTATGTCATATACCTACTAACATACAAATCTGTTTTTTTATCTGAAAAAATAAAAAAAGTTATAGGGGTGAGCCACTTTTGAGACGACCCGGTATATTAAAAAATATTGTTTCATAATGTAATATCATTTTAAAATTCTTGTCTGTTATTTTAGATTCTGAAGATAATTTTAGAATCAACCGGAATATATTTTTAATAAAAACATTATTAATTATTAACAGGGTTATAATTATGATTTTGTTACAATGTAAGTAAGTAAATAATGTAATGTAAGAGAAAAAATTCAGATTTTACATTTTACTAAGATATTATCTAAATAAGCGCCTTTCTATAACAACGCCACTGACTCCCAATGGGTAAATTGAGAGTTGCCTACCGGTCGAAAGTCATTTCAAGACTTAAATGGATTATTTAAGTCAAATTTCTTGCAAATTTGGCACTGGCGAACCATATTTTATAGTTCTTGAACAGAAAAAGTCAATAAAATAAACACTTAAGGACTACAAGCTAAGAAAATGCGTTAATGCAGCCGGGGACATAGCGGCAACAAAGTTTTACCGCACACGTGCGACGCGTACTACAAGGTAATAAATGAATGAATAGGCTCCCTCGCCTCTAATCGGTGTTGTCATATTGTAAAGAACTTATCCTTTTTAAACAGTATCCGACTTATAATTTAGTAGTATAAGGACTGTTTAATACATCTATGGAATATTAAAACCTGCTTTATTAAACTGTAGTATTAATATCTCAATATATGTGTATAACAAGAAAAAAAATATTGATAATATTAAAGACGTGACAACATAGGCTGGATGAGGAAGGCTCGGTCGACTGTACCCGGAAGTAAGCATTTGTACAAAAAAGATTGTTTGACCGCGTTGAGATGTAAATAGTGTAGTCTATATTTTATTTTAAGTCTATGAAATAAGCAGATATTGCAATTTTCTATCTTCTCTCTAACAGGGAGAATAAACTTAAGAAAGTTGAGTTGTCTACTAGACGTATAATAGTCTAAAATTAAAAGTTATAAGTAAGCTAGGAAACAAAAAGAGATAAACATGCAAACCCAATGTTTTAAGTTTGCTAGATGCTAGTAAATATAAAAGAAAACTTACCCATATGTCACAAAATTAGTCCATAGATCTACCATTTTATTACTCAAGGCAATATCATTCTGACTCGTTAAATTCGGAAACAATGCAGGTGTTTTGAAAAGGTACAGCATGTCGTCACAATGACTAGCACCTACAAATGAGCAATATGAATTAACATACTGTATATTATACAGGGTTGTTCACCACATACGACACGGAGTATTGTAGCTAAACGATTAGATTTTTACAAATTGTAAGTTTTGGGTTCATTGAAGGACTATTAGAGCTACAATTTAAAAATATTTTTACAAGATACAGAGTGTCCCAAATAAGTAAAAAATATCATAGTTGTATTTTTGTAAATGGAACTCCCTGTATATTATTCTATTTTTAGATTCTACGATTAAAATAAAGGTAAATTTTATTAAGGTCCATCATACTTAAACCTTACCGTTTTTGAAATATTTTCAATTTTATGAAATATCAGTAAAAATTTTAAGGCTTCATTTCTCCAAGGGTATCAAAGTTTTTAATACTAAATATTTACTGAAGATTATTTATTGACCAGATATTGTGTTGCAATAATAAAAAATTTACTACCTTATACAGAGTGTCCAAAAATGTATATTAAATAATTACTAGCTTTAAACGGCAATAACGTGTTTAATTTAAATGGAACACCCTATATATTTTACGTGAATCAGATGCACAATGTAATTGTCTATCAAATTGTATTATACCATTTTTTACCTATCTCTTCAAGTTCTCATAGAAAATGCATTTTCTTATAATTTAGACCTCATTTATCACTATACCCATGGAATATTGACATTTTAGATTATTTTTAAAGATGTAACAAATTTTCAAAGAGTACAGATACTAATATTGCCGATATAGTTCGCTTATTTCATAAAGAAAATTAAAAAAACTGTTTAAATATTTTTTGTTAAAGAGGACCAATTAATATGATCCCAGTATTCAAACTACATTAATTGACTGTTTACGTTGATTAATAATAATTGCTCCAAATACTAAAAAATTTTCAAAAAGTAACGAAAAAAATGTGGGTTTCCATTTGAAAAAAATGATTTATGATAATTTTTTAATATCTTAATTTTATGACAGCTGCGGCCATTATTATATGACATTCGAACAATTTAATTTTTGAAATAGATAGCCATATGACTTCTCTTTATATCACAGTGGCTGTGGTAATCACTAAATTTGACGTTTAGGCTATACGCATATTTTTGACAGGCAGTTTTTTTCGTTCAAAAATGTTAAATATTTTTTTTCTCAAAAACGGTTAATGTTAGATATAGAGTGTTTGATATCAAAATTCGTAAAATTTTACAGAGAATTTAAGTATGTAATAAAAAATGGGGGTACCCCTTTAAAATAAGAAATAAGTTGTTGTCAACATCCGGTATTTCCGGAAGTGCCGCCATATTGAAAATATTTTTAATCGATAGATCTCGTTGTGAAATAGTGATGCGCAAAAAATCTCCGATCTAGATATTGTAGTTCTCTAATGCACATAACCAACTCTTCTATATTGTTGTATTGATTCAGTAGGTACATTTTTCAAAAATTCCTAAATACAGAAATCGAGAACGAACAAATCCGGGATCAGGAAGGTCACCTTATGAGTTCATCTTCGTCGAAACAAAGAAATATCAAAGAAAAAAACGTTTAGGAGAATTTTTTATTGTAATAAGATAATACTTGCCCCAATCGAAACAGATTTGCTCTGTTGCAGACCCAGCAAAATAATCTCCATATGTGAATTCCCCTTCGTATTCAAAACTGTACATATAAACTGGATAATGTCCTTGCAAAGATTGGAGGTACAACGACTGGTATAAAGCATATGAGAAAACTCTGTCTGTATAAACCTGCAACGTAATAAAATAAGTGAATGTTATGAATAAAAGTTATATTCAGCGGCGGATCTACGAGTGGGTGGTCTTCGGGGGCTCAAGCCCCCCCCCACCCCCTTGAGAGCAGTCATACTATGAATAATGTAATAACATATATTAAAAATTAATATGAATAATTATGAATTATTATTATATGTTATATATTATTGTAAAAAATATAAATTTGAATTTTAGGCTATATAAAAACGCTTTGCACATCTTCTGATGTCTGTCAAATACTCCTCAACGAGTGATGGCAGTAAGCAGAGTAAACGCCATGGTACAAAGAATACAAGGTATGATATTGCGCAGGTTGGTCGCTACGTCACAGGTGATAACAGGCGCTATTGGTCAGTACGCTCCGCGCGCCAGTTCAAATCGTCAAGATATTGTTATAAACCTGTTTTTTTTTGTTTATATACCGTCATTGAATTATCGCTAAGCAAGTTACTGTGGAGCAGTGAGCCGCGCCGGAGTCGGGCTAGAAGCGAGAGACCGGAGTTCGAATTTCGGTCGGAACATCACTTTTTATTTATTTTTTAAATACTGTTGTATTCTATAGTTTATTTTTGTAGTATAAAAAAAGAACTATTTATTCTGTTATTTTTAATCTCCGTTATTAATATAAATTGATTGTTAGTACAATACCTCATTTAATATAAAATAATATTCTACTTTTTGAAATGTATCGGGCCCTAATTGTACCTAAAAGTAATATATTTTTAGTGATATACCATATTGTAAACTATTTAATATTTTAGTCACTTAAAAAGTTAATTTGCATTGAATAATTGCCTACCATTAAAGGAAATTTGAGCTATATAATCCTTGATGGGCATATTCTGGGTATGCAAATACTTCCTTTAAATTTTGGGTGTCGTTCAACCGATTTATTCTCAAAACCAGAAACTTCTACATATAAAAAGAAGCAGAGGTCACTAATTATAATAAACTTCACCCTTGGTATTACTTCCACTAATTATAATAAACTTCACCCTTAGAATTACTTCTATCACAATTACAATACGTTCATCTGCATTGGCATTTTCTACTTTTCGATGGGAAACAATAAACTTCCCAATATTTTTTAAATGATGTAACAATTCCTCTTGTGGTTACTTTTCCATAGATATCCTCAACTCTGTCCTCATGTGAATTCAGAGGCAATGAAAATGAAAATTATTTACCATAAACATCGCAAACTAAAAACCTAATAAACAATTTTATACCGAATATAGAAATAAATTCAGTATTCTTACCTATCGTCCAAATCCATGTTAATAGATAATTATTATTTTTAAATATATTTTTGGAACTGCTGGTTTTAGTAATTATTAAATTAAACGAACTAAAAAGTCTTAAAAATAAACAATTCTTAACCATAACCCCAAAAATGCAGATCTCCTGTCAACTTTCTTTATTTTTTATTTATTCATTATTTTCCTAGTGACGTCACAGGTGGTATGCGCGAACCGAACGAAATTGGAGCCGCTATCGATCATACCTTGTATTCTTTGTACCATGAGTAAACGCCACGAATGTTTGGGAGTGATTCATCTCTTGATGAAGTTAGACTCGATACGCGCGCTATCATTTTTACATTAAAAACGTAAATTTTTACCGCAGACGTAGGTTTTTAAAGCCCGATCTAATCATCTGCCTGCGCTCCTTCTACTTATTCTAAAATGTTAGCGTGATTGACGAAGACGATACTATATCGCGTTTCTTTGATTGATTCGTTTTTGTGCGTCAGTCCATTGGTGTGCTTGCAGTGCGACCAATGGGGCATTCCATTTTATATTTATAACCAAATATATGTTTTGACAAGACTTTTGACAGTTAAAACAACAAATTACAACAGATTATATATTGATTATTATATGACTTGAAACACCACGGCACTGGAATTAAGTTTTATGTGACCTTGAACAGATTAGTTCACATGGTAGCGACCGATGAATCACTCCCAAACATTCGTGGCGTTTACTATAACAAGGTTTAATGAAAATCTACTCAAAAAATGTGTTTTTTCCATAGCAACTGTTAAAATTGCCTTATATCTAACTTATAACTTACACATATATACCGGGTGTTGCATCGTCGAGCGGGACACAGGAAATTCCATGTAAATTTTAATGGGGTCGATTATTGGCTTCCCTAATTATTTTAGAGAATAATTCTATTTAGGTTTATTGAAGAGCACTAAAACCCACATTCAAAAGAATAACTTTAAGTTGTCATTTCAGAAATTTATCTATTTAGCACTTTATTATTATTATTAAAAACTCATATCTATATCGAAAATATTAGCCATGAATTACACTACCGAAGAAAAAGTATTGATGAATAAATGGTATTATCAAGGAAATAGTTATCAAAAGGTGTCGGACATGTTTGCTGCTCTGTATCCGAATAGACCGATACCTGGAAAATCTGCAATCGCAAGGAATATCCAGAGATTTGAGACCAAAGGTACCCTAATAAATAACTGCAGATGTGAAGCAAGGCAGGAACAAAGAGAAGATGCAAGAAATGATACCGACTTGGAAGTTTTATTGTGCGTGGAAGAGAACGATGGAAAGATCAGCACAAGGAAACTTGAGGATGAAATAGGAATATATCACACTACAGCGTTTCGAATTTTGAAACGACATAAATACTATTCCTTCAAATATGAAAAGCACCAAGAGCTACGAGATGGGGACGAAATACGGCGGCAGGCGTTTTGTTTTGATATAATGGAAAGAGCAAACACGGATAAGGAATTTTTAAAAAACATATGTTTCACTGACGAATGCACGTTTACCTTAAATAATGAACCTAATGTTCAAAATTATTGATATTGGAACAAAGAAAACCAACACAGGTTTGTAGAAACAAGGACGCAATATCCACAGAAAGTAAATGTTTGGGCAGGGATATTCGGACACAATATTATCGAGCCAGTATTTCTTACGCGAAATTTAAATGCAGAATATTATTTGGAACTACTCGAAAATCATATTTTACCTGCTTTACATGATGCCGCTACGGAAAATCAGGAAGTTTGGTACCAAATGGATGGCTGCCCGGCACATAGTACCCTGGCTGTTCGGGAATATTTAGACAATAGTTTATTGTCGTAAACGTTATTGGCCTAAATCATACAGTAAATTGGCCAGCAAGGTCTCCTGATATTTCGCCAAATGATTTCTTTCTCTGGGGCCATTTAAAAAACAGGATATACAGGGATAAAAAATACCCAAATCTAGACGAGTTAAAAATGCTACTTCTGCCGAATGCAATAGAATTTCAGTTTACCAACTAGCGAATGTAAGAAGAGAATTTTATGATTGCCTGGGTTATTGTCTAGCAGTCGATGGAGGAATATTTGAACATCTTCTTAAATCCTAAAGTTCTAACAATTTAATAGTACCTAAATTAATAAGTTATTGAATATTGTAATAATACTATAATTAACCTTGTAATTGATTACTTTATTTTACTTTAATTCATATTAATTTGTATTTATAAATACATCTTTAAGATTTCCGATGTAGGATTGAGTTTTCAATAATAATAAAGCACTAAATAGTTAAATTTCTGAAATGACAACTTCATTTGACAGTTATCTTTTACCTTGACTGGTGCTCATAAGTAAATACAGGGCCATAAGAAAGGAGAAATATTTAAAAAGAGATCGGCGATAACTCGTAAACGAGCTAATCAAAAATATCTAAAGTTATTCTTTTGAATGTGGGTTTTAGTGCTCTTCAATAAACCTAAATAGAATTATTCTCTAAAATAATTCGGGAAGCCAATAATTGACCCCATTAAAATTTACATGGGATTTCCTATGTCCCGTCCGACGATGCAACACACGGTATACTTTAACGGCGAGGATAGATTAAAAACTTTATTTCTTCTCGCACGTTTTTTAATTGCTTCCATTTTTGAAAGTTTTTGTATTCCTTTTCATAAGTTATTCGGGATTTAAATGAAAGTAGTTTGGATATGACGTTTGTCGCCTCAGCCTGAATATCTGTTGCTAATTTACTCATTTCGTTTTGAGCCATTTCTGGCTCCAATTCAATCAGCAATCGACACGAAAGAGAATTAAAAGATATTGACTCAAAACTGACAACTAAAGAGACAGCTTTATCAGAGATAAATGAAACAAGTTTAGATTGGAAAGTGCCCATAAGGACAATGTAAACACTATTTGGCGCTATTCTTGCAACGGTCGCGACCCAAAACTTTTGAAAATTTCGGAGCGGTTCGGCTTTTTCCGGAATTATATCGCCAAATATTGTTTATTCAAATTTATTATTTTTTCGTTTAATTTTATAAATAAAATACAGTGTGTTGCATACAAGAAACTTTATTTTATATAAGGACGCATGTATGAAATACCTATGAAACATTGGAAATCGATGTTATGCCACGATCCACGATGGTTTTTGCAGTTCACAGTTCACAGCACAGCTTTTTAAGTTTTTAATGCCACTTTTTCACAATTATCACCGGTTGGAGTAAATAAAACTTGAATTAAACTCACAAGATAGCAATAATTACTTTGAAAATGGACGTTATATAAACACTTTTCGGAATTTCTTTAATGAGAGCGGTTTAGATTTTAAAGATTATTATGATTTTTGAAGATTCTGACTTTGACAAGAGAAAATTATTTCTGTTTTTGTTTGCCGTTGTTCTTAGCGACCGCTATAGCAGCGCCAGATCGCGTATAACGGTCGCGACCCAAAATAATTTCGCGACCCAAAATTTTTACGGGCTTTCCAATCTAAACTTGTTGCATTTATCTATGAGCTTTATTTATTTGTCAAATTACATAGAAACCAACGCCAACCCAGCTCAATATTTTTTCTATTCGTTATAAATTCCTTGAAATAATAATTTCTGAATATTTTTTAAAATGTAACTGGCTATGGAAAAAATATTGTTTTATACACGACGATAAAATTACATTATCGCCTCCCGAAATTAATTCCCTGGCGATCGCTCGTGAATTAATCTTTTGGTCGACGATAAAATACCATTTTATTGTCTTGTATAAAAGATAACTAAACTTTATTGGAGTATTTGTTGGTGATATTTTATAAAAACCCAGGATGTAATTTTGAAAAAAAATAGATCCAAATTAATTATTATTTTACAAAAAATATATATTTTAATTTTTAAATTTCTTTTTCGTCGTTAAAATATCCAGATTTTCCAAATTTAGAAATTATTTTACCAAAAACACACGATTAACAATATTATTTCATAAGGTTTACTTACATCAACTAGTCCCTGCACACTATCTGGGTTATTAGCATTTATGGTGTTCCCGGAATCAAAGTAAAACTGAGAAATGTTCTTATAGAGTCCTTCCACATCCTGAGTACTAAGTGAGAGTGCTAGTAATGAGTTGGATAAAATGTTCTGAAAGTTAGCGTTTAAATCCTTCCTAATTTTTGAGTTCCTTATTAGACCTGTAATACAATAATTATAAAAAAAAAAAATTGTATAATTTGATAGACAATTAAATTGTGCATCTGATTCTCGTAAAATATATAGGGTGCTCCATTTAAATTAAACAAATTTTTGACGTTTATAGCTGGTAATTATTTAAAACACATCTTTAGACACTCTGTATAAGGCACTGTTATTTGTATTATTGCAATTTACGACAGTAAACATTCAATTTATTGTTCAAATATAAGCATTTTACAAATTGAATTTTTAAAATTAATGTTCAAATTTGGCGCGCGGACGATAGGTCCTCGACAAGGAGAGATAGAGCAGAAGCACCGCGTGTGCAACAAAAAAAGAAGATAAATGGAAGTCGTTGATATGTTTGCGACAGTTTCCATAGTGATTTACTTATCCACGTAAGTATACGGGGTGTTGCATCGTCGGACGGGACATAGGAAATCCGATGTAAATTTTAATGGGGGCAATTATTGGCTTCCCTAATTATTTTGGAGAATAATTCTATTTAGGTTTATTGAAGAGCACTAAAACTAAAACCCACATTCAAAAGAATAACTTTAGATATTTTTGATTAGCCCGTTTACGAGTTATCGCCGATTTCTTTTTAAATATTTCTCCTTTCTTACGGCCCTGTATTTACTTATGGGCACCAGTCAAGGTAAAAGATAACTGTCAAATGAAGTTGTCATTTCAGAAATTTACCTATTTAGTGCTTTATTATTATTGAAAATTCATTCCTACATCGGAAACCTTAAAGATATATTTATAAATACAAATTAATATGAATTAAAGTAAAATAAAGTAATCAATTAGAAGGTTAATTACAGTATTATTACAATATTCAATAACTTATTAATTTAGGTACTATTAAATTGTTAGATCTTTAGGATTTAAGAAGACGTTCAAATATTCCTGCCATCGACTGCTAGACAATAACCCAGGCGATCATAAAATTCTCTTCTTACATTCGCTAGTTAGTAAACTGAAATTCTATTGCATTCGGCAGAAATAGCATTTTTTAACTCGTCTAGATTTGGGTATTTTTTATCCTTGTATGTCTTGTTTTTTAAATGGCCCCAGAGAAAGAAATCATTATTTGGCGAAATATCAGGAGACCTTGCTGGCCAATTTACTGTATGATTTAGGCAATAACGTTTCCGTTAAAACTATTGTCTAAATATTCCCGAACAGCCAGGGCACTATGTGCCGGGCAGCCATCCATTTGGTACCAAACTTCCTGATTTTCCCTAGCGGCATCATGTAAAGCAGGTAAAATATGGTTTTCGAGTAGTTCCAAATAATATTCTGCATTTAAATTTCGCGTAAGAAATAATGGCCCGATAATATTCTGTCCGAATATCCCTGCCCAAACATTTACTTTCTGTGGATATTGTGTCCTTGTTTCGACAAACCTGTGTTGGTTTTCTTTGTTCCAATATCGATAATTTTGAACATTGGGTTCATTATTTAAGGTAAACGTGCATTCGTCAGTGAAACATATGTTTTTTAAAAATTCCCTATCCGTGTTTGCTCTTTCCATCATATCAAAACAAAACGCCTGCCGCCGTATTTCGTCCCCATCTCGTAGCTCTTGGTGCTTTTCATATTTGAAGGAATAGTATTTATGTCGTTTCAAAATTCGAAACGCTGTAGTGTGATCTATTCCTATTTCATCCTCAAGTTTCCTTGTGCTGATCTTTCCATCGTTCTCTTCCACGCACAATAAAACTTCCAAGTCGGTATCATTTCTTGCATCTTCTCTTTGTTCCTGCCTTGCTTCACATCTGCAGTTATTTATTAGGGTACCTTTGGTCTCAAATCTCTGGATATTCCTTGCGATTGTAGATTTTCCAGGTATCGGTCTATTCGGATACAGAGCAGCAAACATGTCCGACACCTTTTGATAACTATTTCCTTGATAATACCATTTAATCATCAATACTTTTTCTTCGGTAGTGTAATTCATGGCTAATATTTTCGATGTAGGTATGAGTTTTTAATAATAATAATAAAGCACTAAATAGATAAGTTTCTGAAATGACAACTTCATTTGACAGTTATCTTTTACCTTGACTGGTGCTCATAAGTAAATACAGGGCTATAAGAAAGGAGAAATATTTAAAAAGAAATCGGCGATAACTCGTAAAAGGGCTAATCAAAAATATCTAAAGTTATTCTTTTGAATGTGGAGTGCTCTTCAGTAAACCTAAATAGAGTTAAGGTTGTCGCCCACTAGACCGCGGCGCGACGCGGCGCGGCGCCATGTGGAAATTTCTTTTGTCTGCTTGCCATGTATTTAAATGGACCAACGCACATTAGAGCGCGCAGCACAAAAGCGCGCCACGGAATTTCCGTCAAGAAGTCGGAAGAGTTCTCTAGCAACTTTTTTCTCCAGTCTCCCGACAGTAAACGCGTTGCAGTGTGCGTACTCACAAGGGAAATAATTTTGCATTCGAGTCTTTTCAGTTGGCTTTTTGACTAGGAACTAGTGATATGTATCAATGGCAGAATTGTATTTTTAAAGGTAAATTAGGCAAATCGATTTTCATAAAGGAATATGATATTTTTTTTAGTCTTCCCTCACTAGAGACAGATGGACGAAATGCCTTTCTATCAAAGATTTAATATAATTGAGGGGTGTAGAGGCAAAACTGGCAATCTCCACTTTTTAACAAAAGTGACAATCTCCAATTTTTAAATTCTAATTACCTAAATATATAAAAAAGATCAGGGTTTTTTTGACCACATAACTAATATACACATCAGAATAAATAAGAATTATCAAAAATATTAGTAATTTGTCTCTTCTGAAAAAATATGATGAGTAGATATACCCGGTGTTTTTTCTTCTAAAACCCTCAATTGAGGAGTGCGTAAAATGTTTCCTTTATATTTTGTAATACTGAAAAAAATGATTTTGTCTTTTATTAAATCTGGAAAAAGATGGTAAAATTCTCCAAACTTCTTTCTTTTTTTGTTAATCGTATGAGTCCAAACTTTTCCTCACCCCCTCTTCCTCTTCCTCTGTTAGAAGAGCACAAAAAATACGCTTTCGTCCGTACTTGAACTCATTGCTTTAAAAACTAAACTACAGTAAGTAAAAAACACTTCGACTATAACTAAATAGCGTTGCCGCGTTTCAAAAGCGCGCTATAGTGGGCGCAGTCCCTTCGCAGCCGGAAAAAATTCTCTTCCCAGCGCCGCGCCGCGCAGCGGTCTAGTGGGCGACAACCTTTAGTCTCTAAAATAATTAGGGAAGCCAATAATGGACCTCATTAAAATTTACATGGGATTTCCTATGTCCCGCTCGATGATCTAGGGCAATTACTAAAAATTATGTGCACTAATTTACGAAATTCCGCAATGACGTCACCCATCTATTTCATCTGGTTGTCAAGTGAAAGAAAGAGTTCGACAATATATGACGTGGCGTTGAACGATGACCGAATAAAGCATACCTTGAGCTTTTATATCGCCTTCATTTTTGACCAGTCCAGTCATCCACGGCACTTTTTGGAATGTCCCATCTACCAGGTATTCTACGGGTGGTTTGGTCAAAAAAGGATTGGGGTTTCGTGCACTTCGCGTTTCTATTGCGGAAGTGAAAATAACTAGAGGATCAGCATAAAAAGTCTGTAATAGATGTATTAAAATATTAGTATTTTAGTGTGCTCAATCATGATGAAATGTTATACAGGGTGTTTCAAAACAAATGCGAAAAACTTCAGGGGGTGATTCCTTGTTCAAAATAAAGAGTAGTTTGCTTTATAAACGTTGGGTCAAAAGTCAACCATTAGGGAGATATCGCGGTACAAAGATGGCGGAAAAATAATGTTTTTATTTTTTATCTTAAAAACGAAAAGAGATAGACTAATGAAATTTTACGGAAGCATTACTGTTATGAAAACACACTTTCTGGTAATTTTTTCACTTTTTTAAAATGAGTGAAAGGGGTTGAAATAAACTACCCCTATCATTCTTGTTAATGAAATTTAAAGAAAAATCTTACCAAACACATGCAAAAAAAATAATTTTAATAGTTTAGTTTATTTAGAAACTTTTTTATCTCTTGTGTTTTTTTGATAAAACTCACCGATTGGAAATTAAAAAATAAAATGTAAAGCATTACATGTCAGGACAAAAAACATTTTTAGATATAGAATCTAGTGGGCAGCTGTAATTTTTTTAGGAAAAAATCTAGTCGGCCGCTCTCACTTTTTAGGATGTTTCTAATATTGTTTTATTTGACATTACCCTACTGCAATACGTTATTATCTAGATTATTATTATTATCATTATTATCACTAGATTCTTAATCTAAAAATATTTTTTTGTCATACGCTCCCAAAAAACAGCTATTTTTACGGACTCATTTCAGTCCGTAAAATGTTTCTTTCGTTTAGGCCGTGCCACGCGTCATGGCAACCTTTGCGGACCAAAATGCTCCAAATTCGTTATTTGTTTTATTTGTCGCCTGAAATTTGTCACAAAATCAATATTTTAAAATTATATTAGTTTTATAATTAAATTATTAAATAATACTAACAACATCAAAAAGCCAAGTTATTTGTTTCAGTAGTACTAGGCAATTATTTAAAAGAGGCTTTAAATTAAATTGGCAGTCGGTTAAACACCAAATTGAATGAGTTTCAAGCGAGAGCAGTAGCAGTGCTGTTGAGAATAAATTTCCGCGGGCACCTTGCTTTTTGAGCCTGGCTGCCTGTGCCAAGGTTCATGTCGCATTTTTAACACGGCTGGTGATGAAATTTGTTTGCTATTAGCAGCCAGATACGATTTTTAAAATATATAGATGGTTCTTATTCCATTGTATTTGATTTTTAAATTATTAAATACTAACAATATCAAAAGCTAAGTTATTTGGAAAAATAAAAATGAAATGAACAATTTTGTGCATTTTGAAAACTTGCATCTGCAATCGAAACGACTCCTCCATTGGCAGGTAAATTTACTTTCTGATGAGGTGGAGTAAATGCGAACGATGATGTACTTGGTAATACATCCGTGGAAGTGGTCGCGATTTTCTTTTCCCCCATTAGCAGTTTGCAAACTTTCTTCTTTTTCTCAATAGATTCTTCTATGTAACCTTCGGCCACTGTGGACGACCTAAATAATTATTGTTGTTTAGAACAAGATCGGAAAATATTAAAATTTTTACCTCCAACCTCCTAGGCGTTTCAGCGATGTAAAATCCACATCTGCATCTGCAGCAAGAGTAGCAGAACTACGTCGGAAACAATGACCTGTATATTCGTTTGGGTTCGACAACTTTAAAAATGCTGCTACAATCGATGGCATCTTCCCAAATGAATGAATGCCGACTCGTTGCACGGTGCATTTTCCTTTACGATAAGAGATGAAGACATAATCATGTGGTACATTTTTTGGCCTAAGACAAGCATATTTTCTATACAACTCAACTGGATTGACAACGTTCCCTTCGTTCACCACCGGAAACACTCTTTTGATATTAGTTTTTGTATCCGCAAGGGTAACTAAAAGGCAGCTGTTGTCTTTTTCTATGATGTCTTTTGCACTGTAGAGAGTACAATTCTTCTCTCTTCTACATGCTCCACAAAGGCCAATGACAAGAGCTACCTAAAAATCAAATACAATGGAATAAGAAACCATCTATATTTTAAAAATCATTAATGCAAACTTACCTTAAGTAAATAAGTTTCATCACTAGCCGTGGGCCAAAAAATCACCGATCTTCTTTTATGGACAAAACCTAGGACTTTTTAGCTCGTAACCAACCGAATTCCTTCAAAAAAGCGAATAAGTTGGGAAATTTGTCAATATAAATATATCTTCTTTAACACTTAACACTGCCTCGCATGGAATATTTCGGACTAAATTGACGATGGTTTGAATGTTGTACTGTAATTAAGAATATTTTAATTTAAAAGCTTCTTTAAATAGGGTACCTAGGTACTTACTTTTTCGTGGAAATAATTTATAGCAATACATCTTCATTTACAACGAATATGCCATTTTTGTCTTTCCATTCATTAAAAAACATCATATTCTTTCTGCAATGGCACGAGATCTCACAGGAAGTAAATCCAACACGATTTCTTTTGGCCTTATTAGCAATATGTTCGATTTTGGAACATTTTAAAATTGTTGGATGAATTTATTTTGTGACAAATTTCGAATGACATGTCAAATGCGATGAAATAAACAAACTCGTTACTAAGATATGAATTTATGTCAACTTTTTTCAAATATAATTTCAAATATGGAAAATTTGCAAATATAGTGTTCTTAAAAACTGTAAAAGCGTGTATGACAAAAATAACACGCCTACCAGTGTTTTTTAGGACTCATCTAGCATTGACTGGCTAACGCCTCGTCCGCAAACAGTAATGATTCGCCCTAAAAAACATCATTTTAGGTACTAAATAAGCATAAATAGCTATTAGTCCCTGACATGTACGTTTATTTTATTTTTTAATTTCAAATCGGTGAGTTTTATAAAAAAAATACAAGAGATAAAAAAGTTTCTAAACAAGCCAAACTATCCAAATTAATTTTTTTGCATGTGTTTGATAAGATTTTTCTTTAAATTTCGTTAACAAGAATGATAGGAGTAGTTTATTTCAACCCCTTCCACTCATTTTAAAAAAGTGAAAAAATTACCAGAAAGTGTGTTTTTATAACAGTAATGCTTCCATAAAATTTCATTAGTCTATCTCTTTTCGTTTTCAAAATAAAAAATAAGAACATTATTTTTCCGCCATCTTTGTACCGCGATATCTCCCTAATGGTTGACTTTTGACCCAACGTTTATGAAGCAAACTACCCTTTATTTTGAACAAGGAATCACCCCCTGAAGCTGTATTTATGAAACACCCTTGGTATATACAGGGTGGTCCGGTATTCCAGGAACCTCGGCAAGTTGTATATTCTGCAGATAAAAATAAATAAAATAGTTCGTATAAATGTATGTCCTAAAATGCTTAGTTTCGGAGATACAGTGTGTAGAAGTTTTGCTTTTTATTTCAGATTTTTTTCCAAATAATTTCTGAAGCAACGTCAATATTTGTATGAAAATTGGTGTCTGTTAGTTTTTTGACATGAGAAATTTGATTTTGATGTCATTACGACTCCTATTTGTAGAGGGCGCCACCTACATGCGTTTTAACTGTTTTGAAGAGTAATAACTTTTTGTCCATACCTGAATAAAATTGTTGAGTGAAAAAATATACATTTTCGTGATTTTCTACGTAAAAAATGTCTCTTGGTAAAAATAACTACGAGCAACCGTTGTTACGTAGTTCGTTTGCTGTCCGTTAAGATTTTTTTTTGTTAAATTAGCATCGTTGTTGTTCATTTTTCCGTATTACATTTTGTATACGACGCTTTCTATGAAATAAAATATAGAAATATTATTACCTTTTTGTTAGAATGTAAAATTTTTCAAGACAAGAAATTTCAAGAGACAATTGCAAGACAAGACAAGACTTTGCCATTCAAGAAATCTGCAAGACAAGACTTTGAAAATTTCTCGTCTTGAATTTCAAGACACGACAAGAAATTGATTTTCAAGACAAGAATTCTTGTCTTGTGCAACACTAGTTACGCTATGCAAGATATTTTTACCTACCTTAAAGTAGTCTTGCGATTGCAAGATATCACTTGCTGATACAGTCCGAAGACAATTAACAAGTTGTCGTGTAGGCGTTGTTGAATTTCCACAACCGACAAAAGACGCTTGGTACCCAGTAACAGTTTTCTGAGCTTCGCTATTCAAAAAAGCCCAAGCAGCCAAAGCATTTCCGCTTTGTGATATTGCTTGATGAAAAAGACCTAGAAAAAATTATTATTGCGAAATCAGGAGATTTTTCTGTATGAAAAAGTTTTATGTCAATTTTTAGCAAAACGATGTCTAGAGAATGACCTCGTCAAAATTATCATCGATTGTCATACCCCAGCCGTACTTGACGCCGATTTTTTTCTATCACACAGTGAATAAACATTAAAGGAAAAAAATACATTTACATACCGGGTACGTCTCAAAAGTGACTCACCCCTATAACTTTTTTATTTTTTCTAAATCCTTAAGTGACTGACATACTGATTAATCACGATCCGGCTCAAACCACTCAACATAAGAAGCTCAATTTTGGCATACAGGTTGATTCTAGTGTGTAGAGGTTCGATAAGAAGGGATTTTTCGAAATTCCAGTTCCAAGACGGTGAAACCACCCCTCAAATATTACAATATTTTTTATTTAAAAAACGGTCAAGTTTCCGAAAAAACACTTAAACACGTATATTTTATTTTGTTTTTTTACATATTTTAAGATTTTTTAAAAATATATACAGGGTGTTTCGAAAAATCTGGTCATTGATTAATCACGATCCTGCTTAAAGCGCTTGACGTAAAAAGCTGATTTTTGGAAAACAGATTGACTTTAGGGTGTAGAGGTTCGATAAGAAGGGATTTTTCGAAACTCGAATTCTAAGGGGGTGAAACTATCCTTCAAATATTAAAATACTTTTTATTTAAAAACCGGTGAGTTTTTCGGAAAAACTCTTAAACACGTATATTTTATTTTGTTGTTTTACATATTTTAAGATTTTTTATAAATTTATACAAGGTGTTTCATAAAATATGACCATTGAGTAATCACGATTCTGCTTAAACTGCTTGATGTTTAAAGCTGATTTTTGGCAAACGGATTGACTGTGGGGTGTAGAGGTTTGATAAGGAGGGGTTTCTCGAATCTCAAATTCCAAGAGGGTGAAAACGCCCCTCAATTACAATATTTGTTATTTAAAAAACGGTTAGTCTTTCGGGAAAACTCTTGGACAAGCATAATTTATTTGGTTTTTTTACATATTTTGAAATTTTTTAAAAAATCATACAGGGTGTTCCAAAAAGTTGGGTAATTTCTAAACTACGATTCGGCTAACTGCTAATTTTCTGCTAATAAATTCTGCTAACTGCTAACTAACTGCTAAATTTCTAAACTACTTAAACTGCTTGACGTAAAAAGCTTATTTTTGGCAAACGGATTTTTCGAAAGTCAAATTCCAACGAGATGAAAAATTCCCCTCAAATATTACCAAGTTATATAATAATATCGCCATGTTGTTTTTTCTCATGTTGACATAAATGTGAGAAAATGTTATCCAGTTTGTATGTTAATGGAAATTCTTGCTTTGCTTTATCATCACCATTACAATTCGACGCGAACGAAGTCGCTGGTATACGCTAGTATTACTATATGACATAAATTAGGATTGATGACGTATTCACTTGTTTTCGGTCACTTCCTGTTTCACCGGAAATGACTGCAACTTATTTTTAAATGGCACCCTCGATATTTTTTTACTTTATTGCATAGAATGACATCATATGTCAACATTTGGCATTCTCGCTTAAAAAAAATCTTATATCTTTTAAATTTCAATCTAGAGTGCCATGGATAGGTTAAAAAAACACTAATTTTTAATCCAGGAGCCTTGGAAAAATAGATTTGATCGTCTAATGTTTTTCGCGTCCTGTCCTGGCCGGTTAAAAGATGTCCAAATCGTATTTTTAATCATATCTCAATTTTTTCAAATGGAATAACTTTTAGGTATGTTATGAAACTTTTATTTTATTACCTTTCGATGCAGGACTCAACATATGTAAATGGGTACTACCAGCTCCAGCACTTTGACCAGCAATCGTAACTCGATCTTTATCCCCGTTAAAACTCCCTATATTTTTCTGTACCCATTTTAATGCTAACACTTGATCTTTTAGTGCATAGTTGCCAGGCGCCTCGTCGTCCAAAGTTGTTAAAAAGCCTTGAAAATAAGAACGTGAAATTATTCACTGACAGATTGAAACATACATCATATTAAAACAATAAAGTTTGGCTTCTTATACTAGTATAAAAATAATATAATGAGAAGAGCTCCACTTTTACAAATATTTTCTGCCGGCTGACAAAATCTTAGGGTTTCCATACAAGTTTCTGGCAATTTCAAACAAGTGAGCTGTGAAATACGGACAAAATCCGGACTTTGTCAAAAGGTTGCTTTTTTAAAAGGTCGTTTCAAAAGTTCGTAGCTGAAAAACTCGCGGAGTTATAATATAGTCTGTGAAACGAATAACTTTGAATTTGACAGTTATCGCGGGCTTTTCTAGTGTTAATTTTATTAGGTTAGCAACTTGCGGTCATGTTGACGCAATGCCGTCTCTAATAGAACAGCCAATATATAAAATGACAGCGATCTTTATTTCATAGCTACCACTGACGCCTTTTTTCTATGATATTGTATTATTTGCAAATATAATTTTTCGAACATTGATACTTGCAAAATATACATATAAATTTTGTGAATGCAAATAATAATACATCACTATTAGTAGATATTGAATGTTTTTGTTAAATTAGATCGATTTTCAAACCCCAAAATTTAAAATATATTTTACATTTTACCCATTATCTTATGTATCGATTCATTATTTGTATATTGTAAAACATTTCCTGCATTTGTATGGTTCATAGTTTATTTGCCAAAGTATTTATTACCATAAATAGGTATATATATTGTATTTATTAACTGTATATTATGTATATTTCATATAAATTATATCATTTTTAAAATACAAACCAAAAATACGAGGAATAATTGTTTTTTTCATGTATTCTACAACATATTTATTAATCCGTAGTATCTAACTAGCGTGACGTCATAAATCTCGCTCTGTGGCTGTTTTATTAGAGACGGCATTAGTCTAATTTATTATTATTTAGAAATGTCAAAAACTGATGACATTTTACTTTTGACATTATGACATTTCGTGTTAATTTTTGTAAGAAGAGGAAGAACTGTCACTTGTTTTATTATTTTCCTTTCCTATTTCACGAAAGTAAAAGGAGTTACCTATCTGATTCGTTCAGGCACTCAATTTAAAGAATATCAGTAACTTTTTTGATAGAGGGATTTTATATTTGCCCTGTTGGTAAAAAATAACGGTCAAAATTCAAAGTTATTCATTTTATAGACTATAAAAATAAAATGGTCACCTCATTTTTTCGGAAAAATAACAACAAAATCTTTTTTCAAGCATTCTCATAGAAAAATATGTTTTTCGCCATTATTTTCGGTAGGTGGGGCTTTGATGAAAATTTACTGTGGAAAATGCCATATGAAATACAAAACCGGGAATATCTACGAAACCGTTAAAATTTTTGAAATACTCTAAATACAAAAAATGTTCATTTTTTAATTCTCCATCTAATAAAAAAATGATATACAGGGTGTTCCATTTAGAAAAACGAAGAAAAATTATTTTATATTTTTGGCGTAAAATATTGAACATCCTGTATGATTTACGATTACCATATTTATAGCAAAGTAAGAACAGACCATCTAAAGTAAATATTTAATATAGTTTTCATTTCAGAACATTTCTTGTATTTTTAATATTTTTTTTTTAAGATGGGCTGAAAAATATACCGGGCGTTGCATCGTCGAGCGGGACATAGGAAATCCCATGTAAATTTTAATGGGGTCGATTATTGGCTTCCCTAATTATTTTAGAGAATAATTCTATTTAGGTTTATTGAAGAGCACTAAAACCCACATTCAAAAGAATAACTTTAGATATTTTTGATTAGCCCGTTTACGAGTTATTGCCGATTTCTTTTTAAATATTTCTCCTTTCTTATGGCCCTGTATTTACTTATGAGCACCAGTCAAGGTAAAAGATAACTGTCAAATGAAGTTGTCATTTCAGAAATTTATCTATTTAGTGCTTTACTCTGGTGCTTTATTATTATAATTAAAAACTCGTACCTACATCGAAAATATTAGCCATGAATTACACTACCGAAGAAAAAGTATTGATGATTAAATAGTATTATCAAGGAAATAGTTATCAAAAGGTGTCGGACATGTTTGCTGCTCTGTATCCGAATAGACTGATACCTGGAAAATCTACAATCGCAGGGAATATCCAGAGATTTGAGACCAAAGGTACCCTAATAAATAACTGCAGATGTGAAGCAAGGCAGGAACAAAGAGAAGATGCATGAAATAATACCGACTTGGAAGTTCAATTGTGCGTGGAAGAGAACGATGGAAAGATCAGCACAAGGAAACTTGAGGATGAAATAGGAATAGATCACACTACAGCGTTTCGAATTTTGAAACGACATAAATACTATTCCTTCAGATATGAAAAGCACCAAGAGCTACGACATGGGGACGAAATACGGCGGCAGGCGTTTTGTTTTGATATAATGGAAATAGCAAACACGTATAGGAAATTTTTAAAAAACATATGTTTCACTGACGAATGCACGTTTACCTTAAATAATGAACCCAATGTTCAAAATTATCGATATTGGATCAAAGAAAACCAAAACAGGTTTGTCGAAACAAGGACGCAATATCCACAGAAAGTAAATGTTTGGGCAGGGATATTGGGACACAATATTATCGGGCCATGATTTCTTACGCGAAATTTAAATGCAGAATATTATTTGGAACTACGAAAATCATATTTTACCTGCTTTACATGATGCCGCTAGGGAAAATCAGGAAGTTTGGTACCAAATGGATGGCTGCCCGGCACATAGTACCCTGGCTGTTCGGGAATATTTAGACACTAGTTTTAACGGAAACGTTATTGGCCTAAATCATACAGTAAATTGGCCAGCAAGGTCTCCTAATATTTCGCCAAACGATTTCTTTCTCTGGGGCCATTTAAAAAACAGGATATACAAGGATAAAAAATACCCAAATCTAGACCAGTTAAAAAATGCTATTTCTGCCGAATGCAATAGAATTTCAGTTTACCAACTAGCGAATGTAAGAAGAGAATTTTATGATCGCCTGGGTTATTGTCTAGCAGTCGATGAAGGAATATTTGAACATCTTCTTAAATCCTAAAGTTCTAACAATTTAATAATACCTAAATTAATAAGTTATTGAATATTGTAAAAATACTATAATTAACCTTGTAATTGATTACTTTATTTTACTTTAATTCATATTAATTTGTATTTATAAATACATCTTTAAGATTTCCGATGTAGGAATGAGTTTTCAATAATAATAAAGCACTAAATAGGCAAATTTCTCAAATGACAACTTCATTTGACATTTATCTTTTACCTTGACTGGTGCTCATAAGTAAATACAGGGCCATAAGAAAAGAGAAATAGTTAAAAAGAAATCGGCGATAACTCGTAAACGAGCTAATCAAAAATATCTAAAGTTATTCTTTTGAACGTGGGTTTTAGTGTTCTTCAATAAACCTAAATATAATTATTCTCTAAAATAATTAGGGAAGTCAATAATTGACCCCATTAAAATTTACATGGGATTTCCTATGTCCCGTCCGACGATGCAACACCCGGTATATATTTGATTTATTTTTTAATACCTCCGAAACTATGGAAACCCTAGGCAGGGCCGTATCTAGACCAAATTTTCGAAATTGAAACTCGAAAATCGAAAATGGCATTTGCTTTCAAAGTGGAAAAATGAGGTTAGGATGTATAATGTATATTCATCAATAACTAAAGAATATTTATATATATTTATTGTCGAATTCAATAAAAAACGCTAAAAACGTGTAGGGGATTTCCCTATAAAACGTAACTTCTGGCTCTTTCTTATCATTGCGCCTTTTATACTTGAAAGCTGAACAAATTACCATTGTAATAAAGTTTATACAAAGTTCACTACACACAATCAACTATTAAAAATCGCTAAATTGTCGCTGATGACCAGCTGATGACCAGCTGTCGTTATGTCTAAAAAGTTGGCGTCTAAGGTCACAAATTCTGCTGCAGCCCGTATATGGGCATTACATGTCCTTGTATTCTTTAATCATTGATATTCATCCATCTTCTTCTTCTTCTTTTTTGTTTCGTTCTTACTTGCTTACTTAATGATCATTACTCTTTAAAAATTTTCGGCCATAATTCGGGGGGGTGGGGGTTTGAACCCCCAAAACACCCCCCCAGATACGGCCCTTACCCAAGTGTGTTGTATAATAATATTTTAAGAAATATATTTATACTAACCAAAAGGCCCTAACCGGTAATTGAACGTCACCAAAACAATATTTTTGTCCATAAAATAACTAGGGTCAAAATAATCTTCATTACCCGAGCCAGCTATGAAACCACCCCAGTGAATATAAACTAGAACGGGTTTCAAGGCATCAACATTATTGTTTTTATACATATTGCCGCTATTGATATCCTAGAAATAAGTATCAAGGTGTGTATTTACCCTAGATAGTTATACAGGGTGGGCCAAGGGAAAGTTTCCACCCCAATTTTTCTCGTTTAAAATTAAAATTCGGAAAAACGCGGGGGCGGCGCCACCCCTAAATCCTTAAATGGAAAGGAGGGCCGAGTGATACCTCACGTGAAAGGTCTTTCAATTCCCTTTTTAATGATATAAGATATCATGTACTTTCGTTCAGTAGTTTTAGAGATTTATTGATTCAAAGTAGATTTTAATTTATCGGTTAAGTGGTGAAAAAATCGGTTTTTATTTTTTTTGTCTCTCTGTATGTATTTTTTTTGGAAACTTTATATCGTTGAAAAGAGTGAAACGCCAGCACTTTTTTAAGTTCATAGCCAAGTATGATTTCTATTTAAAAAATTACAATTTTTATTATTTCTGACAAAAATAGCAAGCATAAAAAAGAACTGACTACGCCACTGGATTGTGCTTAAAAAAGTGCCTTAAGAACGTTTTTACAGAATTTTATTATTCCGCGAAATACAAAAGTTATGGGCAATTTTCCAAATGCTGAAAAATTCAAAAAGACCCCACCCCGTATCTCTGTTGGCAGTGAAAATATCAACAGACGGTTTACGCCATTAAACGTTTCTCAGAAATCGAGCCCATGACCTCTATGTCGGTTTTGCTCTATCTAGTCAGGAAATAGGGTTTCTCTGTTAAAACAGACCAATTTCGACCACCCTGTACATTGCGTTGACAAACTTTTTTTTATTATAGCCAGCATATTTAAATATCTTTAAACAACTCAAAAACTACGGAGATCAAACGCAGGATCCATTTGGCATGGGTAGCATTTGGAAATATGAGCGATATTTTCAAGGATAAAAAGATGCCCATGAACCTAAAGAAAAAGGCTTAGGACAGCTGCATTCTACCTGTGCTTACGTATGGCTTAGAGACTATGGCAATTACTCGAAAAACAGCAGAACAACTACGAGTAGCACAAAGAGCCATGGAAAGAATCATGTTGGGAGTCACCATTAGGGAAAAAATACGGAATACCCACATACGTCAAAAAACAAAATTAATAGATGTTAAAAGAGTGGCAAGTCTGAAGTGGTAATGGATAGGACATGTGGCAAGACAGAATCCAGACCGATGGCCCCAAAAAGTAATCCTATGGAGACCTAGGGGAACAACAAGAAGTGTGGGCCGACCAAAAAAGAGATGGGTCGATGACGTCAGGGCAGTGGCGGGAAGACAATGGATAAGATTGGCTAGAGATCGCGAAGCATGGAAAAACCTAGAAGAGGCCTATATCCAACACTGGATGGAACCAGGCTGAGAAAGAAGTAGAAAGAACTCAAAAACTAAAGTATTTAAACAAATTAAAAATGCCTTATTTAATCCAAAAAAATTAAATAAAATACCGGGTGTTCCATAAGAAAATATATAACTTTGGTATGGATCGTAGTTCTGAGACACCCTGTACAGGGTGGGTCAAATTCGACGCTTTTAAATGGAAACACCCTTTTCTGTAGGAGATAGACGAAAACTAATATCGGTGTCTGGAATTCAATTTTCATCAAAAACATGATGGTGAAAACCGCACGTCAATATCTGTTACCGTTTCGGAGTTACGGGGTGTTTTTCAAAAATGTGCATTTTTAACAAACCGTTGTAACTTTTTTGCTATCGAAAATTTTGTATTTCTATAAAAACATTTCCAAAGCACCTTTTTACCTAGAATTTAATGGTTTAAGTATAATTTTTTTTGAGTTATCAACAGAAAAATTGATTTTTTATTTGGGACACCCTGTATATTTTTAATTTATTGAAAAGAATTTAAAATTACCTTTCCAAAAATATAGCACACTTGATATTTTGTTATAATCCCCTTCGAAATACAGAATTTTTAAAAGTTGGCCACTTTTAACTAGTAGGCTTTGAACCCTTTATTGATGATATGCCCTTAATGGAACTCGAAAACATATTTTTCCAGCAAGACGACGCACCGCCTCTGATCGCTGAAGTTATCAGCAAATTTTTGCATCCAATTTCAAGAATAATTGAATAGCCAACCAAGATTCCAGCCGTTGGCCGTCGAGGCCGCGTGACTTAGTGCCCATGGATCTAATCCTATCGATTTGCGGAAAAATAAAGGTTCCTTATTCTTCCGTGTAATCTAGACAAGAATTAGAAATACTTAGCAGTTATGAGAGGGTATCTTTCACCCCCACTGAGTTAATGAATTCCGCGAGAAATGTTTAAAAACTGCCCCGTCTGTCCATAACAGAAGACGGTCGATATGTCAACACCTGTAGCAAAATCTCATGTCTTGGTTTGCTATTTATTTTTCTTGTTATTAGATATAGTTTAAATGTGTTGATGTTGATTAAATATATTTTAAATAGTTATAAAATTCTGCATCTCTCATAGCAAATATTATTTTCGTTTTAATTGATGCTCACAGCTAGATTTTCTTTTGCATTACAGCCGGTGCAGTTCAAAGCCTACTTATTTAAAGCGGACGAATTTTTATAAACTCTATATCTCGAAGAGGAATCGAGCAAAATATCAAGTGTGTTATATTTTTGGAAAGGTAATTTTAAATTATTTTCAATAAATTAAAAATATACAGGATGTTTCATATAAAGAATCAAATTTTCTGTTGATAATTCTTAAATTATTAATTTTAAAAACATTATACTTAAACCATTAAATTCTAGGTAAAAAGGTGCTTTGGAAATGTTTTCATAATTGCATATTTTTGAAAAACACCCCGTAACTCCGAAACGGTAACAGATGCGGTTTTCACCATCATGTTTTTGATGAAAATTGAGCTCCAGACACCGATATTAGTTTTCGTCTATCTCCTATAGAAAAAGGTGTTTCCATTTAAAAGCGTCGAATTTGACCCACCCTGTACGTTTGAAAATAATTTTAAATTATGCACATATACCCATAAAAAAAATTGTTTCTAGATCTTTCCGTTTTCTTATAATCAACCGAGGCGAATGAGGTTGTGGGGCGCCACCCTGTATAACATATGAAATACAGTATACATACTTACATTATGGATATTTGGGACGTAAACATTTAGATAAAGGCAGTCTTCTTGGCCTTCAATGACAGGTTTGTCACTAAATAAGTAGTTGCGCTGAATACAAAGTGGAGCTTTACCAGTAGCCAGTAAGAAATAAGCCCATGGATCTGGTTCTTCGGGGGCCTGAAATTTTTTAAACTTTTGTTAAGTGAGGCAGTAATTGTTGCCTAAGCTGTTTAATGAAAATAGTAGTAGAATATGTTGAATAGGAGAGGCGCTAAGACACATCCCTGCCTAACTCCTGTATTTGTTAGGAATGGGTCGCTCAGTGATCGATGGTGTGACACTCTTGACTTGTTGTTGTTATGGAGGCTTTTACACATTGTAAGAAATTTGTTGGGTACTCCAAACTTTTTCATAATTGCCCAAAGCGCATCTCTGTTCACAGAGTCGAAGGCTTTTGTTAGATCAATGAATGCAACATAAAGTTTAGACTGCTGCTCTTTTACTTTTTCCTGTAGTTGACGGATGGAAAATATGGAATCGACGGTGCCGCGGTTGGTACGAAAACCCGTTTGCGATTCTGGAAGGATTTTTCTATATATAGGTGCAGGCGGTTTGACATAATTTTTGCAAGAATTTTTCCCGGTAATTTCCGCAGTCTGATGCACTTCCTTTGTTCTTAAATATATTCACTATGTTCGCGTTGCGAAAGTCCTGAGGTACCTCTCCGCTTTCCCATACGACATCGAAGAGAGCCTTAAGATGACCAATAAGTTCTTTACTTGCACACTTATAGATATCTGCCGGAATCGCGTCACAGCCAGCTGATTTTGTTGTTTTTAAGCTGTTTTACGGAGGTCTTTATTTCCTGTTCTGTTATTGGGATGTCTAATACATCGAGGCTGTTATACTGAGGTATTATGTTGAGTGCTTCCATATTGGGATTGTTTTCTTGGTTAAGGATATGGCTGTAATGTTCTTTCCAGCGATTTCTGATTTGTTCTTCCTCTTTTAGAAGTTCGCCATTTTGTGCCATGATTGGCCAGCTTACCTTCTTAGGTGGACCGTATACTTCTTTTACAGCCTCGAAGAATTTACGATAATCGTGATGCGTGGCGTACTCTTGAATCCGATTCGCTTTTTGTGACCACCAGTTATCCTTTACTTGGCGCAGTTCTCTTCGTAGCGTGTTGTTGGCTGATTTAAAGTTGTCTACCAGTCTTGGATTATGTGGATTTGCAGTGACTGCTTGATGTGCTCTATGCTTTTGTTCCGACAAAGCCTGTATATGCGGTTGATTTTCATTAAACCGGTCTGGTTGTTTCTTTTTGTTCGACGTTCCCAGTACTGCTTCGCTGGTTTTATGAATCGCATCCCTTAATTGTGTTCAGCCTTGTTCAGATTCCAATATTGAGATTGAAGTTATCGGTGGAAGTGATTCTTGGAAAGGGGTTCTCTAGACCCCATACGTTCAATCTGATCATGTTTTGCTTTTTACAGTGTGGATGTTTGGGTTTTAACTAGATTTCTGCATAAAATTGGATTGGAAATAAATAACCTATTGTTAGTTAACAACATATATCTTCTTTTTTTATATTTGCAGTAAAATATTATCCTTTCAGTAGAAAAATACACCAGAAAAATATTTTATACAGAACAAATACAAAATTAAAAAAAATAAGATAAATTTTAATAAAATTAATAATTAATAATTTTAATTAAATCTTATTTTTACGTGAGGAATCTCCCCACGAGAGGTACTTCTTTCCTCATTCGCATTCAGTGTAACTTACCGCAAATCTTAAATGTCCTACGGGCGGTTTGGCATACGGAATGCTAGTAAAAGCATTATATATTTTGCCCGTTCTTGAAAATTGGTAGTTTCCAACAATTAATCCAGAGTCTATGCGTACACTAGGTAGACAATATGCTGGGTGTCCCGAGTACGGCAACGTACACGTGTATGAAAGTGCCTTAGGCAATAGCATCAAAAACAAAATTTGAAAAATCATTCTCTTTCTGCAGCCGAACTAACGTTTCAATGTTACCTGAAAAAAAATTATACAAACTATGGTGAATACACGATAGATAACCATAGAAATCTTAATATTACAAATACAATTCTAGGAATCAATAGAGGTCAAGATCTACTCAAGATTATTTTCCAGGTAGGGACATAAATATACAGGGTGACGCCTCTTATACGCCGCGGAAGCTCCAAGGAGAACGATAGTTTATATCGAAATGAAATTTTGGTAGCATATACAGAGAAGACCAGGCTACTAGTAACATAGCAACTTGCCGGACGAATTTACGCTTACCCGATTGCGTTCGTACTTGAGATTCACTGCCGGCTAGTCGACTGGTCAGGCAATACGCAGTTGCAGTTGTGCTTAATAAAATATAGACTGAGCATCTCATTCATAAATAGCTGGAACATGCGGTCAGACAATGTCTTGTTATTGTTGTGTTATTGTTTTAAGTTATAACGAGTGCGACACGAGCGATAGATAGGTTGTCTCTGTCGTAACGGTCGTTCCCTGACGACTCTGCCGAGAAACACAACACTGTCTTTCGTTTCCCAAGTACACCTGAACTCTCCGTATCATAGCCGGGTAATTTTTTTATTTTAATGAAGCTATAATTAAATTAAAAATATATCGTATTTAAACTTTTTTATATTTTATTAAGATTTAGGACAGGTTTTTTTAAATAAAAGTTTAGAAAAAACGTCTTAGAGTCCAAAAAGGATAAAAATAATAAAATACACGTTATAGAAGAAATTTTATAATCGAAATTACGTAATTTTTGAAATTAATAATAAATTATTAATTTTAGTCAAACATTTACAACCCCTAATATTAATCAAAACAGGATCTATTCCACAGATATAATAGAATCGGCGACAGGGAGAGAAAAAAAAATATGATTGTTGTAATTTTTTTTCTGGTTAAGTGATGTCTTATGTAAATTAGAGAAAACATAAATCTGTTCCATTAAAGCAAGGAAGGTGATAGGAAGTGGATAAAATGAAAACTACATTTATTTAACTCGGTACTGTCTTTATTATACCGGGTGCGTCCCAAAAGTGGCTCATCCCCATAATTTTTTTTATATTTTCAAATAAAAAAACAAGATTTAGTATGTTAGTATATGACATAAATTAGGATTGATTGACGCATTCAATTGTTTTCGGTCACTTCCTGTTTCACCGGAAATGACTATAACTTTTAATTTTTAAACGGCACCCTCGGTATATTTCTACTTTATTCGATAGAAAATGACACTCTGAATAGAATGACATATCATATGTCAACTTTTGACATTTTCGCATATGGTTTAATTGTAATTGTAACACGCGGTTCATAACGACAATTTGACTCGAAATACCAAGTGTGTGGTATCAATATATTCATAAAAAATGCTTTTTCCAAATATGCTAATGAGTCACCCTTGTTCCATTTGAAAAAATTGACATATGTATGATTAAAAATACGATTTGTACATCTTTTAACCGGCCTAGACAAGACACGAAACCCATTAGACGATCAAAACTATTTTTCCAAGGCTCCTTGATTAAAACTTAGTGTTTTTAACAACACCATGGCACCCTGGATTGAAATTTAAAATAGGATTTGTTTTTAAGCGACAATGTCAAAGTTGACATATGATATGTCATTCTATTCAGAGTATCATTTTTTATCGAATAAAGTACCAATATACCGAGGGTGCCTTTAAAATCAAAAGATGTAATCATTTCGGTGAAACAGGAAGAGACCAAAAACAATTGAATACGTCAATAAATCTAATTTATGTCATATACCTACTAACATACAAATCTGTTTTTTTTATCTGAAAAATAAAAAAATTATAGGGGTGAGCCACTTTAGACGACCCGGTATATTAAAAAATATTGTTTCATAATGTAATATCATTTTAAAATTCTTGTATGTTATTTTAGATTCTGAAGATAATTTTAGAATAAACCGGAATATATTTTTAATAAAAACATTATTAATTATTAACAGGGTTATAATTATGATTTTGTTACAATGTAAGTAAGTAAATAATGTAATGTAAGAGAAAAAATTCAGATTTTACATTTTACTAAAATATTATCTAAATAAGCGCCTTTCTACAACAACGCCACTGACTCCCAATGGGTAAATTGAGAGTTGCCTACCGGTCAAAAGTCGTTTCAAGACTTAAATGGATTATTTAAGTCAAATTTCTTGCAAATTTGGCACTGGCGAACCATATTTTATAGTTCTTGAACAGAAAAAGTCAATAAAATAAACACTTAAGCACTACAAGCTAAGAAAATGCGTTAATACAGCCGGGGAGATAGCGGCAACAAAGCTTTACCGCACACGTGCGACACGTACTACAAGGTAATAAATGAATGAATAGGCTCCCTCGCCTCTAATCGGTGTTGTCATATTGTAAAGAACTTATCCTTTTTAAACAGTATCCGACTTATAATTTAGTAGTATAAGGACTATTTAATACATCTCTGGAATATTAAAACCTACTTTATTAAACTGTAGTATTAATATCTCAATATATGTGTATAACAAGAAAAAAAATATTGATAATATTAAAGACGTGACAACATAGGCTGGATGAGGAAGGCTCGGTCGACTGTACCCAGAAGTAAACATGTGTACAAAAATTATTGTCTGTCCGCGTTGAGATGTAAATAGTGTAGTCTATATTTTATTTTAAGTCTATGGTCGTGACAGACTAGGAATACGACGCGAGGAGTGCCGAGTATTTATTATTTTCATTTTAAGTGTTTACCTTCACCTAAGGTAACATTTAAAATAAAAATACTTAAATATTTATTATTTGAGTGTGTTTACAGGCCAAAACTAAAAATAAATAAATTCTCTAAACCCCAAAAAAAACTAAAATATTACTCTAAATAAAAAAAAGTTGTAACAAGTGTTCAAAAAGACCATCTTCTTGTGCTAGACAGAAGCCTAGGCGGTCGCAAAATCCCCGTCAGACATTGGCTAACATATTAGGGCTAATAGTTTGGAAAGCCTCGCGTATTTTTACTTGAACCTCATCCAGATTATTAGCCCTATTATGACCATACACTTTGGATTTTACATAACCCCACAAAAAGAAATCGTTGGGAGAAAGATCTGGTGATCTAGCGGACCACAAAATAGTTCCATATCCACTAATTAAACGGTTGGGAAAAGTATTGTTCAAATATTCTTGAACAATACGGGCATTGTGGGCAGGGCAACCAGACATTGTGGAATCTTTCTCCCAATAACTCACGAATTCTAGGCACAATCTGCTGTTGTAACAAATCCAAATTGATTAGATTAGATTAGAATGAGTGGGAGGGGGGTTAATCACTTCGACCTTACAGATCCATTGTGTCCCCCTTTCTTGAATCATAACTCATCATACAGTCCCAGGGCTTTGACAAAAGCCAGTATCTGGGACGGTTTTATAGAGGGTAGTTCTCCATCTCCAATATCAGTCGTACCAAAATTCATGGCACGAATGGTTGTCGTCTCGGCGCACTCAGTGATGAGGTGTACTGGTGTTTCACCATCTTCCCCACAGAATCTGCATTCGCCGTTTCTTCTTAGTTTCAATCTACTGAGGTGTTCATTGAGGAGACAGTGTCCTGTTAAAAACCCCGTGACAATCCGAAGATTGTTCTTACTCAGACCCAGGAAGATCTGTGATTTTTCTTGATCATAAGCCCTCAGAATCTTCTTCGAGTGTCTTAGACCATTGCAAGATTTCCATTCCAGGTTGCGGATGGAATCTTCCAAGTTCTTGAGTTCCGCCTTGAGTTGGTTACCACTTGGAAAGCAGAACGGTTCTGGTCCAGTTAGTGGAGTGTTCGCTCCTTTCCTAGCTAGATTATTTGCTTTTCCATTGCCTTCTATCCCTTGGTGAGCAGGCACCCAGTGTAGGAGGACTTTGTTTTCTTTGCCTAATTTATTCAGCTTCTCTATGCATTCTTTGACCAATCCAAATACTTTGCAACAGTTAAATTACCCTCTATAAAAAATGGATTCAATTTCAATCATATGCGCCCATACAAAACCACTCCAAACATTTAGCTTTTGAGGATATTGGGTGCGTACCTCAAAATATCTGTGCAAATTTCCCCGAGACCAATATCGCACTTGTGTAGGGTTATGACGACTCAATAAATGAAAACTTGATTTGTCGGTGAAAACTATACGCCGAATAAAGTTTTCATTTAAGTTAGCCTTTTCCATTACAGATTCACAAAACGCCATACGCCGAAATTGGTCTTCATGGAAAATTTCTTGAGTTTTGCGCGCTTTATACGATCGGTGTTTATTCTTTTTAAGGGCTCTTTTAACCGTGGTAGGTGAAGAATTTGTTACCTCAGCAATTTGAAAACATGGGATTTTGATCCGCGGTAGCACAAATGAACACTTGCTTTAACTCCTGTTCTTCATTAATCAACACATCAGGCTTTTTGTGTTTTTGTGGGAACACGCACCCATGTGTTTCAAAATTATTAATAACTCTTGATATAGTACGTAAAGATGGAATTGGCCTGTTTACAAAAGATTGTGGAAAAATTGTTTGTATATCCCGATAAGGCCTCATGTTACTACTACGGTGGTCCGGTCTGTATAGGTTACCTGAAAGCATTTTATAAAAATATATAGAATTATACAGGGTGTCCCCAAAAAAAGTTACACATCAAAGTTGTATTTTTTCTAATGGAACACCCTATATATTAATTGATTTTCGGATTCTAGGAAAAAAAATAAGGTGAGTTTTGTTAAAGAAGCATATACCTGAAATCTAAAGGATTTTGACATATTTTACATTTTGTGAGAATAGGGATTAGATTTTAAATTTCGATAACAGCTACCTAAATTTTAGTCTGATATTTAATTACAGTAACCATTGTATGTTAAACCAAATTGAAATTTGACCGGAAAAGTTATACAGGGCGAGACAAAATTAATATGGAACATTAGTCACTTTTAAAGGCAAGTAACTCCTTTATTTTAAATGGAACACCCAGTATACTTTTCCGGTGTTCAATGGGGAATTTATATATCTTCAAAATATTATTAAGATTACCTACCCCTCAGATAAATATTTTTCTAGATATTTTAATTTTTATCATTTTGCGTGTAGATCTTTATTATTTGAAAAAATCTAGGTAGCTGTGTGATATACCTTTTGTTAATTTAACAAAAATTAAAGATTGTAGAGTAAAATACTCAAGGGTAATAAAAAGATACACGTTTAAAACATATTTTAATTATTACAGAATCAAAACTAGATATAAACCTATAATTATGTGACAAAAATTAGTTAGATGAAATCAAATGCTCAAAATGCTTTTTTGCCTGTTAACTGCATAAAATGATTGTCTTTTCAAAACGATCTTTTCATTCTAAAAGACATATACAGGGTGTTTCGAAACAAATGCGAAAAACTTCAGGGAGCGATTCCTTGTTCAAAATAAAGGGTAGTTTGCTTTATAAACGTTGGGTCAAAAGTCAACCATTAGGGAGATATCGCGGTACAAAGATGGCGGAAAAATAATGTTTTTATTTTTTATCTTGAAAACGAAAAGAGATACTGTTATGAAAACACACTTTCTGGTAATTTTTTCACTTTTTTAAAATGAGTGGAAGGGGTTGAAATAAACTACCCCTATCATTCTTGTTAATGAAATTTAAAGAAAAATCTTATCAAACACATGCAAAAAAAATTAATTTTGATAGTTTAGTTTATTTAGAAACTTTTTATCTCTTGTGTTTTTTTGATAAAACTCACCGATTTGAAATTAAAAAATAAAATGTAAAGCATTACATGTCAGGACAAAAAACATTTTTAGATAAAGAATCTAGTGGGCAGCTGTAATTTTTTAGAAAAAAAATCTAGTCGGCCGCTGTCACTTTTTAGGATGTTTCTAATATTGTTTTATTTGACATTACCCTACTGCAATACGTTATTATCCAGATTATTATTATTATCATTATTATCACTAGATTCTTAATCTAAAAATATTTTTAGTCCTGACATGTAATGCTTTACATTTTATTTTTTAATTTCAAATCGGTGAGTTTTATAAAAAAAATATAAGAGATAAAAAAGTTTCTAAACAAACTAAACTATCCAAATTAATTTTTTTGCATGTGTTTGATAAGATTTTTCTTTAAATTTCGTTAACAAGAATGATAGGGGTAGTTTATTTCAACCCCTTCCACTCATTTTAAAAAAGTGAAAAAATTACCAGAAAGTGTGTTTTCATAACAGTAATGCTTCCAGAAAATTTCATTAGTCTATCTCTTTTCGTTTTCAAGATAAAAAATAAGAACATTATTTTTCCGCCATCTTTGTACCGCGATATCTCCCTAATGGTTGACTTTTGACCCAAGGTTTATAAAGCAAACTACCCTTTATTTTGAACAAGGAATCACCCCCTGAAGTTTTTCGCATTTGTTTTGAAACACATATTTTTTTATGTGGAGTTCTACCTCGAAAAGCAGCTACAATAATTTCTCTAATGTTGTCGACAACAGTTGCGTGAGTTTGGTAAACAGTGTCTTTAACATATCCCCATAAAAAACCCAGACTAGATAAAATCAGGAGTATTTAAGTATTTTATTAATTGGTGAATGCACACTGCATTCACAAACTAATAGAATCATCAATTCTTTCTGATGTAGGATAAGTTTGTATTTTTCGCAAATTTCTGAGAAATTTTTTTGTGTTTTAACTGACACAAAATGATAACTAGTTGTTAAAGTTGGACTAATTAGACAGCTATGTTGAAGTAACGTCAGAAATATCACAGCCACCTAGATTTTATCAAATAATAAAGATCTACCTAGATCAAATCATGTAAATGAAAATATCTAGGAAAATCTTTGTTTGGGGGGTAGGCAACCTTAATAGTATTTTGAAGAGACATGAATTCTCCATTGAATATCGGAATAATATAATGGGTGTTCCATTTAAAATAAAAGAGTAACATGCTTGTAAAGGTGACCAATGTTCGATATTAATTTTGTCTCACCCTGTATAACTTTTTGGATCAAGTTTTAATTTGATTAAAGTACAATAGTTAATTTAACTACACATTAGGTTATACTGGGTAAATTTCAATTTAGGTAGCTTTTATTGTAATTTAAAAATTGTTGTTTGTTTTTAGAAAATGTTAAATATGTCAAAAGCCTTACATTTTAGTCATATAGTTCTCTTATAAAACTCACCTTTATTTTTCTCCCAGAATCCGAAAATCAATTAATATATAGGATGTTCCATTACAAAAAACACAACTTTGATACGTAACTTTTCTTGGGGACACCCTGTAGAACTCCCTATATTTTTAAAAATTGCTCTGAATTAACCTGGATATGCTCACAAAATTTCTTTTTATTACAAACTTTCGTTCTCCTTGGAACCTCCGCGGCGTATGAGAGGCGTCACCCTGTATATACTTTATCACTAACCACCAGAAATAATTCACTTGCACAACAACATAAATTACCGGTAATTCGAAAATATGAAATGCAATTGCCCTAAACGCGGCAAACTCCAAATTTCAGTTAAGGTGCAGTTTTAAATGCTGTATTTCGCATGCTAATGCGTTAGGAGGTAACAACGACGCAGGAATAACTAAATAATGAAGACACAGATCGATTCGGATTAATAATTTATAGAAGTTCTCTCTCAAGGCATCTTAAACAAAGCCGAAAATACTCGGCCATATCAAACATCCTTTAAACTGGTCGATTAGTCGATGATTTTGTATTTTTGTTTAAATGAATCTTATCTCCTTGCAAAATTGAACTGCATGACATAATCAGTATTATTACGTATTTTTTGTAAATACATATTCTGATTAAAACAAAAAAAATACTGAATAATAAATTGCCTTTTATTAATACGGAATGGTCTGATTTTAACTAAACCAGTCATATGTGATTCAAACAGTCTCGTTTTCCACATACAGGGCGAAAAAACCTAATTAAACAAACTATAACATATCTCGATTTTTGGCGATTTTGAGATATCAATGTCATGACATGCCCAATGGGTCATATTTTAACATAGCGAATTTGCGCATCTCAATATTGTACCTTTTTCATTTTATATTCGTTTAAAAATTTGCCCTATCTCAAATACTACAATTCTTCGTTATGACGAAGAGACGTATGTTGAGATAGGGCTCTTTGTTACATCAATTATTGTTATATAGTCTGTGAAACGAATAACTTTGAATTTGACAGTTCCCGCGGGCTTTTCTAGTGTTAATTTTATTAGGTTAGCAACTTGCGGTCATGCTGACGCAATGCCGTCTCTAATAGAACAGCCTCGGAGCGAGATTTATGACGTCACGTTAGTTAGATACTACGGATTAATAAATATGTTGTAGAATACATGGAAAACAATAATTCCTCGTATTTTTGGTTTGTATTTTAAAAATGATATAGTTTACATGAAATATACATAATATACAGTTAATAAATATAATATATATATATATATATATATATATATATATACCTATTTATAGTAATAAATACTTCCGCAAATAAACTATGAACCATAAAAATGCAGCAAATGTTTTACAATATACAAATAATGAATAGGTACATAAGATAATGGGTAAAATGTAAAATATATTTTAAATTTTGGAGTTTGAAAATCGATCTAATTTAACAAACAACACACATTCAATGTCTACTACTTACTATGACTGAAATCGTACTCCATAGTCAATGTAGATAGTTTTAGTGTTAAGAATAATAATTTAAAAAAATACGTGGTCATCTTTTTACAAGTTTATATTAGTTTATTAATTGCAGTAAACATTATGTGGTGTGCTGTGAATATTTTATATGTAATTTTTTGGAATACATTCGACACTATTTTTTTCATATGACAACACTGATAAAGGCTATGATGTTTTTTTTTTAAACCACGTTTTTTTTAAACCAAAAAAAATAATGAAAAAATAAATGAAAATTTAATCCGCGTTTTTCCCGAACCTAAATCCCAAGAAAATCAAAAATTTTAGAATCATTTTACATATAAAATAACAGCGATCTTTATTTCATAGCCATCGCTGACGCCTTTTTTTCTATGATACCTATTGTATTATTTGCAAATATAATATTTCGAACATTGATACTTGCAAAATATACATATACATTTTGTGAATGCAAATAATAATACATCACTATCAGCAGATATTGAATGTTTTTTTGTTAAATTAGATCGATTTTCAAACCCCAAAATTTAAAATATATTTTACATTTTACCCATTATCTTATGTACCTATTCATTATTTGTATATTGTAAAACATTTGCTGGATTTGTATAGTTCATAGTTAATTTGCCAAAGTATTTATTACTATAAATAGGTATATATATATTGTATTAATTAACTGTATATTATGTATATTTCATGTAAACTGTATCATTTTTAAAATACAAACCAAAAATACGAGGAATTATTATGTTTTCCATGTATTCTACAACATATTTATTAATCCGTAGTATCTAACTAGCCTGACGTCATAAATCTCGCTCCGAGGCTGTTCTATTAGAGACGGCATTGGTCTGATATTTTGAAACGTCAAAAGCTGATGACACTTTACTTTTGACAATTGTGTTGATTTTTGCAAGAAGAGAAAGAACTGTCAATTGTTTTATTATTTTCCTTTTCTATTTCACGAAAGTAAAAAGAGTTACCTATCTGATTCGTTCAGACACTCAATTTAAAGAATATCAGTAAGTTTTTTGATAGAGGGATTTTATATTTGCCCTGTTGGTAAAAAATAACGGTCAAAATTCAAAGTTATTCATTTTATAGACTATACCAATTGTTATACTACAAGAAAGATGGAATTTGAGATAGGTCCTTTTGTTTTAAGTTACGAAAATGCATGCGAGAGAAAATCACACCATTCTACCTAATTATTTTCTGACGGTTGCTTGGGACAAAATAAAACTTCTATCGAGGCAGCAGCTCTCTTTTACAGTGTGATTTTAGAGTCTATTTTTTGCCAAAAACCATTGCTGGAATGAGCTAGACTCTGCACATAGCTGTATCGGGCATGCAAAAGATTGTCCGAGAATAAATGGCCGAATAAAAGGAAAATTTTGATCGAAAGCAAAACAACGAATCGAAAATTGCCCTAATGGAAATCATAATTTCTCTAAGAACATTTTAGCGAACCAAAAACTTGCCCGAAAATACAATAATTTTCATCTCATTATTGTCGTCATGGCCATTGGCATTGTCATCCCTACCAATTTTTGGAAAATTTTATTTATTGTGCCTATCATCATCCAGCATAAACACGTAGAATGGAAGTCGAATTTTTTATCATTGAACAGGGAAAACAGAAACAGTTACTCCCACAGTTATTTGTATAAAAAAACGAATGAAGAAACATGTTTTGTTTTCGTTTAGTTTGGTTTTTATTATATGGAGTTTAAATGCCCTGTATTAATGCCCTCAATTAACTAAAAAATTACTAAAAATATATTAGTTAAAAAATGCATTTTTGTATAAAAAACAATATTATTAAAATAAGCTAGATAAGAGTATTTTAATTGATTATTGTCTTTGCTTCTGGCATGAAAATTGTCTTTGTTTTCAGTTGATCTAATCCAACGCGAATAAAAAGTATTTAAAAATATTTGTTTCTGATTTTTTGGCGATTTTCAGATTTTTTCTTGTATGTATGTATTGTATTTTCTTGTAAGTATTCCATAATGTGAATATTGTATCATTTTTTTTCTTATTAAGAACACTTTACCGTCATTTTTAAATTTATTTTACATGGGCGTATGTATACTATTCGTTCGGAAATAAATTTATTATTATTACAACAAAAAAGCCTATCTCTATTAAACAACTAAAAATAAATTATTTATTAGAATTTACGCTCAATTTATCTTCAGAACGATTCCTCAATGTCTCCGTTTAAGTGTTAATACAAAAACGCTATTAAAAAATTAAAGACTTTACATTTATTGGCCAAATAAAGTAAGTGATTTTCTTTAAATTGCTCTCCTGAAAAGTAGCAAAAATCGAGATACGCCTTTTCGTCATAAAGCCGACGATATACTGACTCACTGGTGCATCGGCATTGGGGTCAACTTTCGTTTAGCTGAAATCAGTTATTAGAAAAAAAATTGTCTTTAAAAAACTACAGTGAACCACGGAAAACACAAATTTTCCTGCGGAAATGCGAAATTTCAAAATTTCGCACTTTAGAATAACTGAAATCTGCTATAAAAAAAATACATTTAGCGTTTTATTTTTAATATTTTTCAAACCATATAAACACAAAAATTTTCCCGCGGAAAAAAGCTGTTTTCATTTTCTAAGGAAATTTATTAGACTTTAGAATAACTGAAATCAGTTATATAAAAAATAAATATATTATGCCTTTATTATTTGAAGTAGTTGAAGTTGTTGGCATTTTTAAAAAGCAATTAAAAGAAGTCAAAATCAATCTATCAAGATCTAATAACAATTTGACGTTTATACTATTACGCGAAAAGCAACTTTTTTCCAAAGCCTACCATGACTTCACTGAATCATCGTTTCTTGTTCACTATTATTAATATCTTAATTATTAGACATTAATACTTCTGGAATTATGGTATTCTGGTATTTCGTCGATTTTAAAATAAACTAACTGTTTCTATCTCATTTTTTTTGTTAGAATGGGCATAATCAAGAGGGCTACTGATATCGTGTTGTAAAAATAAGGTAATTAAGGGCTTATTTTTTGGTATTTATTATAATTTTGCTAATATCTTCGGTTTGAAAGAAGATATCAAGATGCGGTTTTCGCTGACTTTTTAAGCTTTTACTACTCTTTACTATCAGCTAAAATTACATATACTATTGCATTTAATTTTTTTGAAAAAACGCGCAATGTTTGTTAAATTGTAAGACAACGCCCCCTAGCGTCTACGTTCAAAAGCTTATTATTATTATTTATATGGTATAATATAGAGTAAGAAACGCTCTTTTAAACGAACCCTCGTTTGTTGGATTCTGATCATCCAGTCCAGAGTTATTAATATTCAAATAAAAATAGATCTAACCTTCCCCCGCCACTTTATTTTGGTAGATAGGGGAAAATGGCTCTAACAAAAAATATTCAAAATTTACTTTTTTTGAAGATTATGAAGCTATTACTTATAGTACAGCTTATCTAGGCAAAATTGTGTAAAAACTCCATTTTCCTATTTTTTGTTGCAGTTGCGCCCCCTAGCGGTCACTGTACAGGGTGGGTCAAATTCGACGCTTTTAAATGGAGATAGACGAAAACTAATATCGGTGTCTGGAGCTCAATTTTCATCAAAAACATGATGGTGAAAACCGCATCTGTTACCGTTTCGGAGTTACGGGGTGTTTTTCAAAAATGTGCATTTTTAACAAATCGCTGTAACTTTTTTACTATGGAAAATTTTGTATTTTTATGAAAACATTTCCAAAGCACCTTTTTCCGTAGAATTTAATTGTTTAAGTATATATTTTTTTAAATTAATAATTTAAGAGTTGTCAACAAAAAATTGATTTTTTATTTGGGACACCCTGTATATTTTTAATTAACTGAAAAGAATTTAAAATTACCTTTCCAAAAATATAGCACACTTACTATTTTGTTATAATCCCCTTCGAAATACAGAATTTTTAAAAGTTCGCCACTTTTAACTAGTAGGCTTTGGACCCCTTA